CCTCCACCGAAGCACTGGCGGAGTCATGTGTGGTACTCACGGGTAAGTGAAGGCCGTGCTTGATACTTCAGGATAAATGGAAGCCGAATTCAAACCGAAGAAGTCGTGCCCAGCCGGGGAAAATTCTATTAAAGAATTTCCAGCTTCCTAGCCTCAGTGGTTCCCAAAATAATAATTTTTTCCGGTAAAACTTGCGCGGGATCATAGGGGAAACCCGCGGGTAACTGAACGCCAAATTTAAGTTCGCTGTGTTGCACGTGGGCAGGGAACATTCTACCAAAATTTCAGCGCCCCAGCTTTCGTGATCCCCGAGATAATTTTTCCCGCCAAAGCTTGCACGGGGCCGTATGTGGTACCTACGAATTTAAATTTACAGGGTCAAACGTGGGCGAGAAATATTTTAGCAGAATTTCAGCGTCCCTGCTTTCGTGGTTCCCGAGTTGACAGTGCGGGACAAAACGCACTCGGACACACACACATACACAGACAACTTCATGACAATATGCATTTTGTACTGCTGTTACACAGCATAAAACGCATACTATCATAAGGCTATCCGTGTGTATGCGTCCGCAGAAACTTGTCCGCAACTTTCACCTCGGGAACCACAAAAGCAAGGAGGCTGAAAATTCAGGGGAATGTTCCCCACTCACGTGTGACCTCAAAAATTTAGGTTCAGCCTTCTCGTACCCATGGGTAATACGTACGGCCCGTAAAAGTTTTGGAGGATGAAACCATTATCTCGTGGACCACGGAAGCTGAAATTTTATCGGTATGTCCGCCGCCCAAGTGCGACCCAGATAATTTAAATTCAGCCTCGCCGTGCCCACATGTAACACCCATGGCCCAGTAAAAGTTTTGGCGAGGAAAATTATTATTTCGGGAACCACGGGAGCTAGGGAGCTGAAATCTTATGGGCCCCCGTGCGACCTTTAAAATTTAAATTCAGCCTTCCCGTGCCTGCCGCTATCACGTGCAGCCCCGTGAAACTTTTGAAGGGTAAATTATTATTTTGTAAACCACAGAATCAGAATCTAGGAGACTGAAATTTTATGGATATGTTCCCTGCCTACATGTGATCTTTCAAATTTAAATTCAGCCTCCCCATGCCTGTGAGTAACACGTGTGGTTCGTGAAATTTTTGACGGATGAATTACTATCCCGGGGAATAAGGAATCTGTGAAGCTGAAATTTTAGCGTAGCGTCCTTTGCCCACGCACGACTCCGCAAATTCTTATCGCCTCCTTGAAAGTTTTAGCGGAAAGGACCTTTATCTCTGGGGCCAGAAGAGCTTTGAGGCTGATAATTTCAGGAGGATGTTTTCTGCTTAGACAGGGGTTCCACAAACTCGAATTTAGTTCCTAAGTACGCACGTGCGACCACGTGGAAGTAATGTCGCAAAAACCAATCGAGAGCAGAAAATTAGGTTGAAATTTTGGAAAGATGTTCACCCTTTGAAATTTCAAATTCAGCTTTCAGTTGCCGTTGCGTGAAATTTTTAGCGGGAAGTTCCGCAACTTCCGAATTATTTTTGCACAGACGAAAGTGCAAAGCAGTGAAAATCATTAGCAAGCAATCGTTCGGTGGACGGGATTGAACAAAACGCATGATCGCATCGGCTGTCCTGGTGCGCGTCGCTATTTATTCATTTATGTTCCTACTCTTTTTGAGCCAAAAGAAAGCCGATTCAGCAGGTATCAGTTGTGACAAGTGTGTGCACGATCTGCTCACTGGGATCTGCGTATCAGTCTTTATACCCCAGCTGAGTGGGACAGTGCGCGAGAGGAGCAGCTTTCAGCACAAGCTGAGCTTGAAGTACGGTGCATGGCCGCCGCTCGCTGTCTCTCTTTGTCATTTTTATGCAGTAGAAAACGTATATTGTCACGGAGCTGTCTGTGTGTGTCTGCAGCAACTTGTCCGCAACTTTCAACTCGGGAACTACAAAAGCTAGGAAGCTGAAAATTTAGGGGAACGTTCTCCACCCACGTGTGACTCCGCAAATTTAAATTCAGTTTCCCCGTACCCGCGTGTAACACGTGTGGCCCCGTGAAAGTTTTTTATGGGTAAATTAATATCTCGGCAACCACGGAGTCTAGGAGCCTGAAATTTTAGGGTAATGACCCTCTGCCCACGCTCAACCTTGTCCATTCTAATCCAGCGTTCCCGCGCTCTTGAGTGTCACCTACGGCCTCGTGAAAACTTTGGCGGGTAAATTATTAATTCGGCAATTATGGAAAGATATTCGCTTAAGGCTCGTGAAAATTTTGGCGGATAAACTATTAATTCGGGAATCACGGAAAGATATTATCCTTCAAGGTTTCATATTCAACTTTATACTCTGGTGCGTGAAATTTTTAACTGTTTTCCAATGTTTGAACTATTTTTGCACAGACTAAAGTACAAAACAGTGAAAATCATTGACAGGCGAACGTTCGATGGGCTGAATTGCACAAAACGCATGACTGCACCGGCTAATCTGGTGCGCGTTGCTATTTATTATCACTTGTTCCAGTATGCGCACGTATCTTTTAGTAACATTAGCAGCGCAAAGTGCGCGACCGTGCTGCGAAACGCAGAGTAGGCCCGCGTTGTTAGTGCATCAGTCCCCGCTCAGTCGGCGCGCAGTGGCAAGTGCAGCGAGTGGAACAGGATTCACAGGCTGGGTGAGTGTGCCAGAAGGTAAGTTTGAGAAGCTGGAAAATGAGAGCATACCGGGAAATCGAGTGGCCTGCTCGGTGAGCCACTCGAAAGCAGCGAACTGCACCAGTCCGTAGACAGCCGACAGGCCCTGCGCAGGTACGTGGCCCTTCCAGAAGGCATGCAGCCCCTCGTCCCTATAAATGCGTGAGCACGCCTGCACAACGCCACGATATCTGCCTTTTGTGACACCAAAAGTGGGCTCCCGCTGCATCTGAAATGCACACATAACAAACCGCATCGATGCTACCACAGCCCACCCTCCTCCCAACGCTCGTCCACGGCCGAGCGAACGCGTCCCGGCAAGTGCGACCGCTTACGATACGGGCCACCACCGTGCATAGTGGCCAATGAAGCAGCGCGGGCAGTAGATGAACTCTCGCTCACCTGGAACCTGATTTTGAGGACGTCGAAGGGCTGCACGAGACAGCGCGTCGCGATCCCGCTCATCACTCCCGCCTCACTGTGCTCCAGCGAACTCGTCCCATGGGCGCCATAGCCAATCATTCCTCTGCCACCCCTAAGTAATCCATCGTTTACGCAATGCACTACCTTCCAGAGAAAGCGTGAACAGCGTGCCGCCGCGAGGCGCAGGTACGCTCCCTCATCCCTCTTCCTGCCACCCTCGTCGCAGACGTCGCTATATCCCACGTATGTTCCAAAATCCGCTGGGCGCCATCTGCAGCACCCCTGAAAAATTACTTTGCTGCGCAGATGCCTTACAGAACTCAAATTTGCATGCCGCCACCCTGAATAAATGGAATTTCCCCCCTCCGTCCCTTACGGCAATTACAAAAACTCAACTCGGACCGGCTCGGTTTATCTCATACACGAACTGCAAAAAA